GTATTTTTATTTGGTTCGCATAAATATCTCTGAAAAATGATTTGCATATACATAAATTTTGTTAATTTTATGGAATTTTACATGTCATAAACGTTGTCTATGTCTACACATATTAAACGTCACAAATTCTTGCTCGAATATCGTGCTTTTCGTTTTTTTTTTCTTTTTTTTTTGATCGTCGGACCATATCGCATGCCTTTATTTATCCGCATAAAAGTGCCATACTTAATGAGGCTGCTATGCGGACAAAACGCGAAAATTATACAAACGCAGTTATAGACACTATATCGAATAATGTCCGCGTCCGCCAGAGGAAATCACGGCGGAATCATCCAATTAACGAAATACCTAATTTTCAATGAAATTCCCATTACACTGCATACGGGGATAAGCTTTAATATTAAAGCATTTTATTAAAACGTAAAATATTAAAACATTGTAATGCATCCAGTGCTCGTCAAATAGCGTCCATGTTTGTACTGCAAACGTTTCGTGCGCATTTGCAGCCTGGAAACACATTATATCATTTCCTACCCTGCTTACTGCCATTGCAATCAGTAAATATTCCATCGTACAAGCAGGAATTTTAAAAGTCATCGTCAACCATAGCTGATGATATTTATCGATATTACAATACTGAAGGCAACATCGAGGATGAGCGTTACCTCGTCAATTCCACCATCGAAAGAATTTATTATAAAATAACAATGTTTTATTAATTTTGTTGAAATTATATAGTCACAATTACGAAAGTGAAAACAAATATATAAATGTATATTCTATAAAATAATGATTGATGATATTGCATAGTTATCAATTTTGATGTAACAACGTTTCTGAATTTATCATTCGAAAAGCAAAAATATTAATAATTAAATGGTTTTGTTAAAACTTTTATACACTTTGCTTTTTTCTATTAACAGAATATGAATTATAAATAAAATTTTTTTATTGTATTTTTTTGATTGTAGGAAAATTGATTTCATTAAGAAATTAATTAATAAATAATTTTTTAATTAGAAAGCTTTATCTTTCCAAATTTGAATAATTATTATTATTATTAAACAATAAAGCAATCCTATGTGAAATTAACAAAAGTTTTTTTTTGTATTAAAAATGTCGGTATATTTAATACGCGAACAAGCCCATCTTCTCTCTTTCCGAAAACTACGAGAACATCGCGAGCCCGTCGTCTATTTTTACAAGCCGACCCTTGAGGGTCAAGATTTGTGAGGGCGAGGGATATCCCTGTCTTTATGCTGTGGACGTGAAACATTTGTCGCGATCAGATCCTCATGGCTGTGGGCATTACTAGATCGTCTTTTGTCAAAACAAACCGAGCCAATCGCCATCCGGTTATATTTAAGCGATAAAAATTGAAAAAGAACTAACTTGCTTTATTTTATATTATCGTTTTTATGCACACGATCTTTTTTTTTAATATTTTATTTTTTTAAATTGAAATAATAGAATTTTATGGAGAGATATAGAAACAAATTTTTTGGATGCATAATAGCTGTTGTTCCACGAGTTTTCTTTATTTTTTAAGAAAACGTCACTTGCCGTTATCGTCGGAAAATAGCAGCAGGTGCGAGCCCTCAACAAGACGTTTATTTTCGTACGCTCTATGGAATTCGTGTGAGGAATAATATTTTTTTCTGATATATATATATTTCTACTCCTTTTTTTTTTGTATAATCTGCTGTATTTCGCTGCCAATAACAAACAAGACGCAATCATAAATTAAAATAATAATATATTATTTCATGTATATTGTATGTAATAAATAGATAATAAAATTCTGTTAAATTATACAAATATATATTATGCAAAGATTACTTTGCAATATTACTCTACAGATTCTTACATAAAATTTTCATAGAATAATTATGATTAATTTATAATGTAATAAAGTTTCATATATTTGCAAATAATATGTTTATTATTATAGCAAAGGCGCAAGTTAGAGTGTGAGAAGAGAGAGAAAATCCAGTTAGAAAGTTATTGGTAAAGTAGCGTCTAATCGGGCAATCGACGTGTCGCAAATGAGAAATCCTATTAAAAAATAAAACTGCATTGAAAATTACAGTAGCGCGCTGATTAAAGCTTTCGCTGGCTTTTTAGCTAGCGGATTTATCACCGGAAGGAAAACGCATTTTTAAACATGATAATTCGATTTGTCGCTCGTTCTGACATCGATTTCGTATAAGCAGACATGCCTGTCTAACTAGATTTCCCTGATATCGCTCGTCAATCTAGCCAATCTATTTATGGCCATTTGTAGCAGACGAAGAGCGATTTATTATTACAGGAAAGTGCAATTGAGAGATTTCATCGTGTGAGTAACGAGGCTAATTTTGAAACGACGATAATTTTAGAACTATTGGAATTAGGATGAACATATTGTAATTTAACAAAATTATTGTATATATTTATCAGACTTTTATAAAAGTTTCTTTTTTCTCCCTCCCCCCACCTTTTTTTGTAATATCATAATTACTATTATTGCGAGTATCGTAACAGACAAATTTTAATTTTTTATAAAATTTTCTTATTCACAAAATTTACAGATTTGAAAATTTTGAAAAGATGAATATTTTTTATTTTTAATAACAGATTTTTAATAATTATTTATAAAGCGGGATTAGTCAATTGCGTAAAGAGGAAAATTTTTTGAAATTATTTCTAATTAATTTCTCCAGGATAATTTAAGGATTAAGTGGAAGAGATTTGGGTATAATTGACGAAAGGAATTATCCGTAATACGATTGATAAATCTCATTCCTGTTTACGAATTGATTTTCTTCATCGCGTCGTCGCGACATTAATTCCGCCGACTTCCGTTATCCCGTGTTATCGCGTTTCGCAAGATAGATTGCGATTATTACTCAGGAATTTCAAAGTGCATGCAAAGTGCACGTATGCATTCACGCGTCGTCGACTTCGCGTTATTTTATCATGTGGTCTTAGTATCTTATATCCGATGAAGGAAACTTGTGGCATCCAATTATGCAAAGTGCCTAGGTATATTCCTTGTGGCTGATCGAAGAATAAAAATCAGCTTCGCATATTTTAGATACAATTTTTTTTAATATCGTTACTTGCATAAATAATGATTAATGTACAATTAATTAAACAATCTCTTATTGATAATAAATAATAATAAAGTTATGCACTAACTAATTTGCCCCAACATTTTAATATTTTGAATTAAATAAGATTAATAATAATTTATCTGTTCTAAAGTTAATTAAATCAATTTTATTAATGCAGTCGTCTATTTCTATTAGTTGTAAGTGGATTATTTTCCACTATTTCTCATTAAAGATAGAAAATATATTTACCATATTTCCGCATTATCCCGCACCGTTATCGTTACGGTGTTATGTAAATCAAGATACAATTTTAAACGGTCGTAAAGACGCACGTCGCGTTGGTCATGTGATCAATACGTAAACGGGACTCCAACGTGTCTCTTCGGGGTCCTTCGGCGTAAATTCCAATATGTGACAAATGTTCGCCGCGTTCGGTCTATAAATCGCTTCTAAATAATTCCGCGCGCTGTGCCCAGTCGATAAATTTGTGCCGTGGCTGTAATATTATCCCTAAAAGAGCCGACACGCTTAGATTTCAATTTAGATTCGACAATTTAAGCGCGTCTCTCCGACGACGACGTCGCCGTCGCCGCCGCCGCCGCCGGTCTCTCGCGAGACGCTGGGAAGAGCTGCCCTGTAAAATAAATCGTCCCCTTGAAATAAACCGTTTGAATAAAACTCGGTGGCATCCGCTGATGGATGCATCGAGACGCATCACGATCGTCGGCATCCCGGTCCCAACCTTCCTCCTCCACCGCGGCTATTCGCGACTCGCGATAAATATTTACCGTCGTATAAAAGCTTTCGGCATCCTACCTCACGCGGCGATGTTATGAAGCCACCTTGAGATACGAGCGATTAACGTGTAATTAAAATCAACCGGCGGAATCCGGCACGTCGGCACCGTGAACTTTTCCTATAAGTTTATGCATTTACCTCGGCCGCGGCCAGGCCGCGCGGAGAGGTGGGGCGGGGGGGGCGGAGGGGTGCGCGCGGCGGTGACAGGCTTTCGTAATTAATTATGCATTCCCGTCAGAGAGTGCGTCTGGCGCGCATTCGAGCCTCGAGAGACAGAAGTATCCCGCTGGATTACCGCGGGCACGCGGCCGTTTCGCATCGCGCTCTTTTTCCCTCGGCTTCCATCTTCTTCCCCTTCCCCGAGCTGTCCCCTTCCCCTTTCCACCCTTTTTCTCCTCTCGTCCCTTCTTTTTCCCTCCTTTTACTCGCCGTTTTACGGGGCAGTAAATTGCGAGTAAACGAGCCGGACCGCGTTGACCTACGACAGTGGTTTTCGTTTCGCGGCTCGTTTCTGGGCTTAATGCGACGCACGCGGCACAACGGCGAGGACGAGGCTCGTCGCGAAAAGTAATTACGACGCGAGTTGAATACTTTTTAAATCGCGTTAGCCGATGTCTTCCAAGAGGCGGCGCGGCCCCCGGTGATCCCATTCCTCGGAACGCGTTCGAGACGCACGCGCTGACTGAGTCTCCTCACTTCCGAGGAGATCAAAGGCATCCTTTAAATTCGCTTAATTGTCAAAGATGAGATTCTTTTGTTTTTTTTTTTTTTCTGAAAATTGTTTCGCAAACAATATTTTTCATAACAAAAACGATATATATTGCTACAGTTTTAACTGGAAAAATTAAGATGAAATTTTTAAAGAATTATACTTCAAGTAATTTGGAAATTACTTGCAGATAGAATATTTATTATCGAAATGTAATCAATAGAAAATGCAATTTTAATTGAGAATAAATTAGAAGTCATGAAAAAGAGATTTTTATTTTACATCTTTTTGATAAAATCAATAAGTCAAGTATTCCGTTCAAGTATAAGAGACAATTATTATTAACTTATGCAATAAAGTCTATAAAATTGATAAATCAAATGATGCTAATCGTAATTTCGAATTCTTTGTGTTTCAGGCAAAAAGAAATTCCCCTCGGATCCATCTTGCTGTCCGGTATGTGGTGTGACAGTGAGACCTCAAGAATTGGAGCAACATTTTGCTCAAGAGCTCGATCGATTGTACAAGGTCTCGGCATCTGCAAGACCTCGATCCTCGAGGTCGACTTTACCGCCGACACATCCCCAAGATCATCCCCATGGTCCGATGTTGCATGCCCCATCAGCCGCGGATGGCACCCCTCAAGGTAGATGGGAGACGTACAAGAGGATCAAGGCCAATAGACAGGTAATGCATTCGTTTATCTTTCGTTTTAATATTTTATTAATTGTACGACGTCTCTAAAATCTCCCCTCAACATATCTATTTTATATATAAAATGTGATAATTATACACAGAAAGAACAATTTTGTTGAGATATATAAAAATTTGACCAGATGCAGATTTGAAAAATAATTTTGTTAACACTAAAAATATGTAAGAGAGGCATTTGGAATCATGGCTGGAATCTTTAACATGTAATTATTTTTCTAATTTATATATATATAAATTTAATGGATATTCCTACTGCCACTATAATATGTTATTATTTGTTGTCTTGTGATGTAGTTAGCCAAAGTCAGAGCTCCTTTAATATTTCAATAATCAATTTAATGATATCAATTAAAAATTTCGAATATTTTATTGCGAAACATGATTTTGTTAAATCATCAAAATAATTAAATATGGGACGTTCAAGTTAATTGCTAGAATATTAAAAATTTTTTCAGTATTATGTCTTACATAATTATTTTGATGGCCCAATTATTTTCAAATTATTTTCAAATTTGTATTTGGTCAAATTTTTAGATACTTCAGTAAAACCGTTTTTTTTCTTTTTTTCCATGTTAATCATGTGCGCGTTGCTATTTTTTTCATTCGCAGGCTAGAATACGCGTTAAGAATCGGAAACGAAAAGCGGACGAGGCGTCCTGTCCGGTTTGTAGCGAACGATTGTCGGGTACTCCAGAGGAATTGAATCAGCATGTCGATCGGTGTCTAAACAAGCAAAACAACGGGAATCCCGCTGGACAAAACGCGAACGTCGACGAAGAGGAGGTCGACGTCGAGGGCGATCCCGAGTACGAGGAGTACGAGTGGGCCGGCCAGACAAGGGTGCGCGCCACTTCCATGCTCGTTGGTGGATTCTCCGGTGAGTCCATTTGTGGCGTTAAATTATACGTGAATTTATTATGCTACGCGTAGATACGTGCAAATATTTATATTGAATTTGCGGTTATTAAGCACATATAACGCACACGATTTTATATATAACTAAAAACGCCGGCTCAATATAGGATGTTAAATATGCGAAAGCATAAAATAAATGCACGCTCGATAATTACGGATACGTATATGACGTAGGTCATAATCGTGTATATTTATTTAGTTTGTTTTTTAATATAAAAGAAGCGCCGCGCATTGTTTGTAATTAATGCCGGTCGATGTTTATAAAATTCGAATTTCTATGGCAAAAACACATTTTACATTCATCGCAAATAAAAACTTCTTAGACAGCACTTTTAAAAACATTATATTGAATATAATTAAAGCATTTTGCCACACGAAATAAACAAAAACCTTAAAATTATGATTTTATGTGTAACTATATTCAATCTTTTTTCTCTAATTATTAATCCTATCTTCTTTACATATCATATTTTCATATAAATTATAAAATCACTGAGAGCGGGCGTGGACTACGATAACATAAAGCAAATATAAAATTAATAAAACACATTTATTTCATGACATTAAATATTTATAGTAAAATTATATTTTATATATCATCATTTATAATCATATTTTATACAACATTACAAAAATAATATGGTATAAAATTTAATTTTTTCTATAAATCAGTTTTTCCTTCTTGTTCAATATATTATATATTTATTTTTATATTAGATTTTATATATTTTTTTATCTGCATGTGTGTGACAGATCTTGTTGATATCATAATTAAAAAATAATTTAAAATCAATTGAACAATGCGGAGACCAAGAAAAAAAGATAGAAAATAGCTAGCAAAGAATTTACCGTACTCCAGTCATTTGTATTGTTTCTCCCTTTTACATTGTTCAACCGTAATAAAGAAATAAAAAAAGAACTTCTGTAAATTTGTAAAAAAAAAAATTGAAATACATATCGTATTCCTAAATTGATCGATCAATACATACTTCAACTTTTCAGTCTTTTCTTTACATTGTTTTGTTCGCCGAAACGCGCTGAAGGACCGTCGGTTTTCTGCTTCGCAGCAGCGGGTCTCGCCACCTCATCGAGCAACCGCGGTGGCGCTAGGGGCGGGAATGGCAATCAGGAGGACGAAGACGTGGATCTGGTGGTCGACGGAGACGACGCCGCCGAGTTCGGCCCGGCTCAGTACTCCGAGGCCGACGTGGTCGCACCGCGCGTCGACGGCACGCCACGAGAACAGAAGGAACGAGACGCGCTTCGCGAGGCCGTCATTTCGCCCAACGCGCCGCACACGCCGCAGCAGCTGACCCCGGACTCGGGCCTGACGGCGCAGGGCCTGGTCGAGGTCAAGCCGGAGCCCGGCGCCGCGACGCCCGTCGCCCAGCAGAACGACCCCGACGAGGGCGCCTCCGTGTCGCCCAGAAGGGACGGCGACACGCCCGTCGTCGAGGCTCTTCGCGGCCGCATCCGCGAGCTCGAGGCCGAGATGCGCGGGCAACCCTTCAAGTGTCTCATTTGCATGGTGAGTCAATTCATCCACGCATGAGTAAAGGGACGCATCTCGTAAATTGCGCCTCCCTATTCGTTTCTGGCGAAAGGCACTTTCGAGCGTTTAATTAAAAAAAAAAAAAAATGAATGCGTAGCGTGGCTACAAATTGTGTTTGATATTTTTCAATCTCGAGGTAAAAATAAAAGTGAAGGTATTTTTTTAAATAATATCTTATTAATGTACTAACGTTAGGAAATAATCGAAAATGCTCTTTTTAATTCATTCATTCCTAGGTTTTAAGACGGGAAAATGAAGTCAAAATAAAAAAATACTGCTTTAAATTGAAATTTTCCAGAACAATGTCTCGTTTGAATAATACGGTTTATAAAATGAATGATACAATCGTAATAATAAAAATCAAGTTTCACTCTTTGAAAACGATTATTGGACGTAAAAACTGAACCGATTAACTGTTGAGCGCTAATATGGCACATAATTGTAATCGAATCACCCTAATTGGCTCATCGTTATAGATAACTTGCTGGTTTTAATATTGTGAAAAATCAAATCGGACATGTGAAAAATAAGCCGGAAAAACGGCGCGCTTTATCGTATTTTATATTATTACATTCTTGTAATATTACATTATACATATTATTTCATCGCGTTTCGTCCGCGCGTCTGAAAACGCGTGTTTTCGCGACTCGTAAATAATTACAGCGGACATATAAAATCGGCGCGTAAAATTCGTTTACGCCCGTCGGCGGACTGCCTGAAATATTTAGATCGGCAAATAAATTATTTCCTAGCGCGCCGCTAGTATGCGAATTAAACGAGGTGGCGAAGGAGCATTACGTTGTAATGTCGTCGTTCAGTGTTTCCATCGTCGATGTAATATTACCTGTCCGGCGATCTCGCTCGTAACGCGGTGGCACTACGAGTAAAACGCTAAAGGTATATATATCGATTCGCGGTCCTTATCAGCCAGGATTAAACGGCGGACGTATTTGCCGATCCCGGGAGGAATGCCGCTTACGTAACGGCCGCGAGTAATGATCGCTTTAATTCATTTCGTCGGGAAAAATCGCCGGGAGAGAACGGCCGCTGGTGAACGTCGATCCGAATTACTGATCTCGCGATCGTTAAATCTGCCTCGCGTTCGTCGATTGCACCCCACCGCGGGAAAAGTTGCATCGGATACTCTCGCTATTCGACTTTGCGTCAGTTTAATGAGAAGTCAAAACTTCCTTTTTATGCCGAGCCGTAAAGCCTTGAAGAATAATTATGTCGCCGTACGCGTATGATACTGATTAATTAATTGGCGACATAATAAACTTACGGACTTGGGATATTTTTTACAATATATATATTTTTTTTATACACATGCAGAATATTGAATTCAATTATTTTATTTACCGATATTTTATTTACACGGGTTCTCCATTTCAGGAACAATACAAGAAACCGGTTACTTCGGTTTGCTGTTGGCACGTACATTGTGAACAATGTTGGTTGCACACGTTGGTAAGTATTCATTTAGTTCATAATAATATTAGTATAATTAGTTAAACTGCCTTTTTTATATATTTCAAATAATTAAATCGTTAAAATTTTCATAATTAGATATACGATTTGGAAAATATAATTAACTTTTGTGAATAAATACATATAATTGTATTATTATGTACAGAGTAGAGAGAATCGCGGCGATATATACTCCGGCAAGATTTTGAGCGCCTATTTTTTAATTTAATTAAATAAATTTATATATTAATTATTTTTAGATTTTCGTCCGTAATGACGGACAAAATTTATTTATGGCCTAAATTGTTTGAGTTTTCTTGAGTAGAATATTTAAGTAATCATTTGATTACTTGATTGATTTCTGGATCTAATTTTCTTTGCTTAATTATAGCATTAATTTAATCGCTAATTAATATATTCATTAAAATTAATTACTAAATAATAATATACCGCTTTTATTTAAGATTGTTATCAATCGTTTTACTGACTGTTCTCCAAGTTTATTGCGAGTTCGCCTCTGAAGTCGGGCGACGATTTTGGTACCGAAGTGTGTTGAGAAACGAGGTTTCTTGCCATTTGTTACAGGGCGCGAAAAAGCTCTGTCCTCAATGCAACATGATAACGTCACCGTCCGATCTGCGACGCATTTACATGTGAACAAGCCGGCTCGACGTCCCTCAGGAACCGCGTTCACCCCCCGCCACTCCAGGGATCAGCCGGGCAACGTCGTCTACGAGCATTTCGCTCCTGTAAATACTTGTATATTTCTCTGCGTTACGTAAATTAACTCCCTAGCATTTTAACATGTACGATTATTCATCTTAGAGCTAGTAAATTAACTTTGTTAGTTCTTAACGATCAACGACCGAGCGTCACTCCAGGATCATCCAATGCAATTTTGTGCGTCCACCGATCGCGGCCATATTATACGTATTATATTCATTTATATTTACAATTATATTTACAAATTTATATTTACAAATTCGTTATTCAATGAAAACTGTAAACTTACGAGGTAAGTTTTTAATCAGGCCGCTCTTTTACTTGTTACCGCAATTACAAACAATTTATTGCAATGCTAATTGGTTGATATATTGACAATTTTTACGGTTTTGTTAAAATAGTATATTTCACTTTGATGATAATTTTTGTTTTTTTTTTTTTACTTTTACTTAGTTTCATATTTTTGTGATTTATTAACAATTTTTACAAAATCAGAATGTTTATTGCGAATGTTTATGCGAACATTTGAAATTAATTTTTTATTATTCTTGATCAAAATATTTGAGCAAGATCTCAAATATGTTATTTCTAACGAAGGCTCATCATTTGTTAAATACGCGACAAAATTGCGAAGATTCAAGCGATACAAATCCGCATCGACGAGAATCGCATTGTACGCTCTGCAATATCTTCGTTTTACCAACGAGGTTAAAGAATCTTAAGATTACACGAAACGACGACTTAAAAGGAAGCCGATTGGCTGTGTAATTTTTTTTCTGCTACGAATTATTTGTACAAGATTTACGATCAAATTTTTATTTGAACGCTACTTATTTTTTTTTTTTTTTTTGATAATCGGCTTTCGATGCTCGTCTCTATCGTATAATTACCAGAACTTTTAGATCATCGTCAAACCAGTCTCTCGCGATGCACCAACGAGTTAATGTAAATACACTAAACGGAAGAAGAGAAGTAAGTTCCCCCCGATCGCTGTTCTGTAATCGAAATAAAACGTCATGG